AGATCCTGTCCCGGCAGAGCTCCAGTGCTGGGGTGGGAAGAGGTCTGCTTGAGTCAGTGCAGCCCAGGCGGAGATGCACTCTGGCTGAGAAAGAGGAATCCGCTCCAGCGCATCATAAATGGCACAGCCCAGCTCCCAAGCTGCGGCATCAAAGATATCGCCATTACCCACTCACGTGCAGCACAGCAGCAGGAACCCTCCTTGCCAGCACTCATGCTCACCCAAACAGCCCTCTGCAAGCACTGCTGCCCCCATCGGAAGAAATCAGCAGGTAAAGAGAGCCAAAGGGCTCAGATTCATCAAGTGCCACCGCTAACAAGCCACCACCTGCCCCTGTCCCCAGGCACAGGGCTTCACTGGGGGGCGCTGGGAGGTGCTGCCGTCATCTTCCGAAAAAGCCGAGATTCCTCAGAACTCCACAATGCCCCCCCAGCAAGGCTCAGCTGCTCCCAGCCCCAACCTTCCCCGTGGAACCAGCCCCCAGACCTGCAGGATCTACAAATAAGTTTATTGAAATTTAACAAAAGTAGACAGATGCGCTGGGAGGCAGAGGAAGGACCATAAATAGCGTACATTTCCCAACCCCACGCTTCCTATCGGCACGCCTAGTGCTGTGATTACGATCCAGCTACACATCCACACGGGAAAGCACAACGTTGCACAGAAGTTGTAAAAAAAAAAAAATAAAATAAAAAAAAAGAGAGAAAAAAGAAAGGAAAGGAAACTTCCTCGTTTCACTTGCTCCAATGATACAGTGGACACAGACACTATTTACACGTTTGTCACATTTCTCCAGCTCCCTCCAGACGCCCAGGACCTGCTTGCCCCGCGCAGGACGGGGCCAGGCTGGGAGAAGCAGCTTGGTGAGGCGCTCAGTGCTCACTGCCTCGCCGGGAAAAGGGGTAGAAGAATCCACTGGCAGGGGGAAGCGTGTTCGGTGTCCTGGGGGAAGGGTAGAAGGGGCAGGGCAGCCTCCGGGAGAGAACAAAAGCGGCCCCGGAGACGCCGTTCTCAGGAGGCTGCGGTCTGAGCCCGTCTCAGAGCAGGTGGCATGAATAAGAAACACTTCAGTGGGGGATTGTTTGAAGACAGACTCTTCCAAGCAAGCAGGGGAACAAAGGATGTCGAGAGAAATGCCCAGCATCACAGCGCAGACCAGCTCCCCGCTGGAGCCCAGCCCATCCGCCTCGCCCTCCGCGCCGGCCCCTGTCAATGGGAACAGCGGGTGGGGGACACGGAGGGAAGAGGCGGTGACAGGAAGACGGCAACAGCCACGCCGCCTTTATCTCCCAGAAGCCAGGAATGCGGCCCAGCGCCTGGGCGGCTCTCGGTGGGCGCAGGGATGGATACATCCAATGCGGACGCCGATAGGGCCGGCAGCCAAGAGCTGGCAGCTTAAATCAAAAATCGAGGTAGTGAACGTCTGAAGTGCTCAGAAAGTAAATAAGTTCTGGGACAAAAAAGGAGGGGATGCAAGCTGGCTACTGTGGGAGCAGGCTGCAGGCTAGGCAAAATCTGCACCCAATGCCCTGGGGTGGACACACAGGTTGTCCTCGAGCCCCTTCCTCATGTGCAGTGAGGCTGAGCAGGGGCCACCAGAGCTAGCAGGTGGCAGCATGGATGGTGCTGCTCCCCAGCCCAGCAGCAGCCAGCTCGGAGCCCAGGGCCCGTGTGCAGAGGTGAAGAATTTTGCAGCACAGCCGAGGCTGATCTGCGCCAATCTGCTCCAGTGGGAGAGAAGAGAGCAGGGCTTTTCCAGACAGGGCAGAAAGCCTCCCTTTAAAGTGCATCGCATTTCTCCTCCTGCCACCAGCTGGGGCACGGGGCGAGGGAGGAACCGTAGTTCACATCGCCAGGGAGATTTCCAAGCCAGGGCAGGCCTACTGATTGTTTAAAGAGGAACGGGGAGGGAAGTGATGATTTCCTTCACGCCTGGCCCTGCTGAGGCTGTTCCCTTTGGGAGGTACTGTGCTCTACAGGAGCCAGATCGCTCCCACAGAACAAGCGGGCAGACAGGGTGGGCAGATGCTGCTGAGGAACTCAGACAGCTCTGCACCGCAGAGATCTCAGGGTCTGTGGTGCAGGCAGCAGTCTCCAGAACCAATGTTAAGCAGGGAACACGCACAAAGAAGAGACAGGTGGCCAGGATAACGGCATCCTACCTCTGCCCCATCCCAAGAGGAGCACAGCACTCAGCTGGATGCGTTTCGACACCAGCTTCCAGCTATCTTCTGAGGACACTGCTGGGGAGCACTGTGTAGTGACCACGCCAGACTGCGTGCTGCTGCAACACCAGCCATGTAACTTCTGGGCAGAGTCACCTTGCTCTGGCTCTCCCTGGGCCACATACCTGAGAAGCAAGGGATTTTGTCTGGCGAGAAGTGTAGGCTCGCTCTCCCTTTAACAGCTCACACAGCAGCTCGTGTGCAGTTCCAGTTACCCATCCAAACGTCGGCTAGAGGCTACAAAAGGTATTTTACGTCTTTTGACTCAAGCGAGGATGTTTTTATGTAGTTGCACGAGGGCACCCATCTTCTCCAAGGAGCAGCAGCCAAGTACAGCCCAGCCAAGCTGCTCCGTCCCGCCTGGCCTTTGGGCGAGGGTCTCAGCGTCCTCCTTCGCTGGGAACACAGGGCAGCCTCGCGCAGGGACAGTCAGGTCCGTCTTGCCCACGGGCAGCAGCACCCAGCAGTCACACCTCACAGATGATCACAGGGAAATCCACATGAATGCGAGGGTGCTCCAGCTTAACTATGCCCTGAAAGAAGAGGATGAGTGGTGGACAGGAGGTGGCACAGGGACAGAACAAGCACTCTCAGGCAAACAAAGCTCTGCAAGGCACCATTCTGAGGGCGACATGCCCTCAAGGGAAAGGTCTGCACCGCCACCTTGGCAGCAAGGACAGCAGAGAGGCAGCGCAGGAGTGCTCTGCCCTTTGCCCTTGGCCCCGGGGAGGCACAGGAGGCGCGGCTGCCGCCGCACACGACGGGTCTGGAGTGCAGCCGGGCGAGGAAGGAGGGAGCTGCTCTGCCAGGCACTGCCCGTGCGGCAGCTGATGCGTGACTGGCAGATATTGGCTGCCCCAGCTTTTCATTCGGCACCTTTCATTCACAGGATTTAAAAGAATGAAAAGAGCTCTCTGAGAAAATGCAGTGAGGGCAGCTGGCGCGTGAGAAAAGCAGCTTTCTGTCCAAGGGGACACTGCTGAATGCACGCTCCATCCATGCCAGCTACAGGCGCCGTTCCCATGCTCTGGGGCAAGCAATCTCCTGTCACAGCCCTGCGAGGACACGCTTGTGAGACAGCAATGTGAGCGGGGCTCTGCGCTCACCAGGGTGAGAAATGTACATTTCCTTGGCAGGATTAGGATAAAAGAGCAAAGAAAAGCCGGGGCCAGCGAAGAAACATTCTGTGCTTCATTCCAGCTGGGCCATGCTGTCTAACTGCAGGAGTTTGAACCCACACAGAGGAGGGATGGGATGCAACTCCACATCCCTACCCTCCTCCATGAGAGCAGCAGAGCCTGTCCTGCTGCACACCCCTTGGAATGCACCAAGAGCTCCCCCTGGGCTCAGCCTGGGGCCATGCCTTCCCTGTTTCGCAGACATCTGCAGACTGCCTCTGCTGACAGGCTCTCCACTTACACCCCCAGAAGCTCCCCTGCACTGAAGTTATTTTTCTCCTGTACCTCAACCAGTGTCCCAACCCCTGTCTGGCTTCACCACATTCACTTATTTTAAGAAGAGACCAAATCCCAAGCAACCCAATATGCAGAGCCCATTGGTGGCAGCACTGCTGTAACGGCTGAGGGCACGCTCACGTTAGCACATGACAGGCTCTGGCGCTGCTCCCAGCAACTCTGTAACAATGTGACACTGCTCTGCCAGCTCCCACAGCAGAGGGAAAGTGCTCAGTGGACAGGGTGTCACGGGCAGGCTCTCCACAGCACAAATCCAGAGGATCCATCCGCTCTGCCCAACGAAATCGCGCACCAGGCACCGCTCCTCTGTGGAAAGGGAGCTAGCAGAGTGGCACAGCACTGCAAGATGTCACGAGAGTGAGCCGGTCCGTACCACAGCCAGAGCCCCGGAGCTACGGGAGCAGTTGAAGCAGGCCTTCCCTGCAGCAAACCGAGGCTTCTGAGGGTCGCGGCCGTGAGCAGGAGCTGCCAGCCGCCGGCCCCACGCCCGCCCCTCTGCACACGCTACCTGAGGTATCAGGTTCTTGTGGATCCTCTTCAGCTTGGCACGCTTCCTCCCGTTCTTGGTGACGATCGTCTCCTCGTAGAACTCGTGCGCAAGATCCCCGTCCTCGTCGTAATACATGGAGCTGCGGGAATGGGCGGCGGGCACGTGAGCGAGGAGGGCTGGCGGTGCCCCGGAGCGGCGCCCGCAGGCGGCACCGCATGCAGGGGGCCGCCGGGCCGCTCCCGGTGCCCCCATCCATCCCTACGGCAGCCGCCCCGCGGCGCCTCCACCCCGCTGCAGCCGCGGCCGCGCCCCCCGCTCACCCGCGGCGCGTGAAGACGAACGGGGTGGCGGCGCGCCCGCCTCGCGCCCGGGCCAGGGCCTGCTGCCCGCCGGGACCCTCGGCTCCGCCGCTGCCCGTCGCCGAGGAGGCAAACGGCCACAGCCCCCGCGACTTGGAGCCGCTGGCACCCATGGCGGCGGCGGGGCCCGGGGGAAGGGGACGGGGGAAGGCGGGGGGCGGCCCGGCGAGAGCGGCCCAGCGCCCACCCGCCCGCCTCCCTGTCTGCCGGCCTGCGCCGCAGACGCCGTCGCGCTGCGACACTTCCGGCGCGCGGCGGCGCCCCCTGCACGTGACACGGAGAGGTGGGGCGCCCTCGTCACGTGACGACGGAGCGGAGCGCCTTCTCCTCGTGGCACCTCGCGGCGAGAACCGGGAGACCGCCGGTTCGAGTCCCGGGCCGACGACGCGGCGCAGACACAGGCACGGGCACGCCTCGCCTCTTCTCCCAGAGCTTTATTGATCGGAGCGCGACGCCCCGCGCCGCCCCGCGCTCCCGGCGACGTCCCCCCGCCGGCGGGCGGCCGTGCCGGTGCGGTTGGCTTCAGCCCGGCGTGTGGGCAGCCAGCGCGGCTTGCAGCTCCCGACGGCAGCGGGCGTAGCGGTGGCGGACGCGGCGCAGCTGCTCGTCCTCCTCGCGCTGCAGGATGCGCAGGAAATTGTGCAGCTCGGGCAGGGAGAAGGCGTCCCACTGCGGAGACACAGCGCTGCTACGTCGCACCGCCCGCACGGAACCGCCGCGCGGCACCGCGCCTCCCCCGCCACACTCACGTTCACCTCGCCGCTCTCGTTCTCCTTCAGGACGAAGCTCAGCGCCTTCTCGCTGGGTCCTGCCAGCAGCCGCAGTCGCAGCGGCTGCTCCTCGTCCGCCAGCTTGCGCAGGTACACTGCGGGCAGACGTGGCACCGGGATGGCATCGCCGCGGGTGGGGACGCGGCTGCCGGAAGGGGCTGCCGCCCCGGGGACTCCGCCACCGTGGGGGACGAAAACGCTGGGGAGATGCTGCCACCGCGGGATGCCTCCGCCATCGGGGACACCGCTGCTAGAGCGATGCGCGACGGCCATTGGGGCGCCGCCGCTACGGGGACGTTGCTGCAATGGGGGGCAGCGCCGCGGCCACGCGGACCTTGACCGTAGGGAACGCAGCGGATGCTGCCGCGATGGGGCCATCACTGCCACGGGGAGGGGGGGGCTGCTGGGAACTCCACCGCCATGGGGGACAACCAGCGCTACGGGGACGCTGCCGCTATGGGGATGCCACCACCCCGGCTCTACCTTGCTCATCCTTCTCGGACCTCTCGAAGAGGGCGAACTTGCGGGGGTCGTCCACCACGGTGAACTTGCGGAGCAGCGCGCTGATCACCTCGCTGGCGCGGGTGTGCGAGAGCACGTGCAGGTGTTTGACGGTGCCGCGGGGCAGGTAAAAGGATGTGCGGCGCTTCACGCCCGCCGTGCGCTGCCCTGACCGCCCCCCAGGGCCCCGCTTGGCAGCTGGCACAGAGACGGGGCGCGCCAGCTTCAGCTGCACCTTGATGAAGCCAGTGTAGGAGCCATCCTTGTTCTGCCACGGAGAGACGGCGGGGCGGTGAGCGGGGCCGGGGCTGTGGTCCCCTCTGTCCCTCCCCATCCTCATACCAGGCTCATGAAGAGGTTGCTGTTGATCTGGCTGTTGTACTCCTTGATGCGCTGCTCCACCTGCGCCGGGTCCAGCTCCGCCGTCTCCCAGCTGCTGGGCTCATCCTGCAGGGCAGCGTCTGTGCTGAGCGCGGGCTGTGCAGGGTCACGTTGCCCGGTGCCAAGCCACCTCCATGGCCTCGTCCCCGTCCCCAAAGCTGGGATGGGCACCCCAGGGCCGTGGGGTGACAGATGGCGATGCCAACCCACGTTCCTCCCAGCCGGGACAGTCCCCAGTTCACAGCGGTGTCCCCGAGGCAGCCGCCAGCCCGGCACCGGGGCAGGCTGGGTGCCCCGCGGGGATGCCCTAGGCTTCGAGGCAGCCCGCCCGGATCTGTTAATAACTATTTACGTGGGACCGCACAGCCACACGTGTCCTCACGGTGCTGTGGAGCTGGGAGCAGCCGGGCCGGGGGGCTGCTGGACCCGCCTGGGGATGGGGACAGCTCGCTCCCAGCAAGGCACGCTCTCCCCCCGCGCTTGCCCCAATAGCAAGCCATGCTCGCTCCCACGCATGCCCTCATGCAGAAGTACCCCCGAACTCCTCCCACCCAAAAAACCACCCCGTGCCCCTCGCATGACGTCAGCTCCACGACGTCACGGCCGGCCCGGGACCGACCTGGCGACGACGCGGGCGGCGGCCGAAAGAGGTGCGGGCGGTGTAGAAGAGCTCGGGCTCGGAGTCGGAGTCCTCCTGGCTGCAGTAGCCGCTGCTGGCCGCGCTGCCCCCCGAGCCCCCCGCGCCGCCCCAGCGCAGCGCCAGCGCCGCCGCCCCGCAGCCGCCGGCCTCCGCCCCGCCGCCGCCGCCGCTGCCGCCGCCCCCCACCCCGGCCACGGCTGCGGCAGCCCCGGCCCGGGCACAGGGGCACGCCCGGCCCCGCGCCAGCCCGCTCGCTCCGGCTCGGCTCAGCACGGCCCCGCTGCGCTCCGAGCGCTTCGCCCGGCTCGGCGCCGTTCTTCGGTTCAGGTCCCGGCTCGATTCGGTCCCGCTTTCCGGTCCCGCTTTCGGTCCCGGCTCGGCCCGATGCCTTGCGCAGTCCCCGCCCGGCTCCGCGCTCTCCCGCTCTCCCGTAGCCCGGCTCGGCTCAGCTCGGCTCCGCCCCGCCGCGGCCGTTGGCCTGACGCGGGCCGGGGGCGGTGCGGCCCCGTTTCCGGCGGTGATTTCACCCAGGCCACGCTCCCTGCGGTCCCGGCCCCGGGACTGCCGCGGGCACAGCATGGCGTCGCGTGGCACGGCACGGCATAGCTCGGCACGGCATGGCATAGCACGACACAGCACGGCATAGCTCGGCACGGCATAGGTCGGCATGGAATAGCATGGCACGGCACGGCATAGCTCGGCACAGCACGGCATAGCTCGGCACGGCATAGGTCGGCAAGGAATAGCATGGCACGTCACGGCATAGCTCGGCACAGCACGGCATAGCTCGGCGTGGCACGGCATGGCATAGCATGGCACGGCACGGCATAGCTCGGCACAGCATAGCTCAGCACGGCACAGTGTGGCACAGCAGTGCATAGTGTGGCATGGCACAGTGTGCTGTAGCGTGGCATTGCATGGCGTCTCTTGGCATGGCACGGTGCGCCTTGGCTTGGCACGGCCCAGCCTGGGCTTTCCCCTCTCCCGCCGTGTCCACCCCACTCCCTCCATCCCCGTGGTCCCATACCACATTCGTGTCCTTTTCCAGCTCCTGCTCGCTGCCATCGTCCTCATCCCCAGTGCCTGGGGGGCCGCTGCAGTCCAGCCGCACGAGGGCCCGGCAGCGGTAGTGGCAGGTGAAGCTGCAGTCTGGGGGCAGAGGGCACCGTGGGCACAACGGCCCCACCACACCCTGTGCACCGCCCGTGCCACCTGCCCACACTGCACCAAGGCACCCGGGGCCAGCACCCGCATGGCATTTGGTGCTGCTGGGCAGTAGTAAGGTGCTCGTGTCCCCTGGGTTACACAGTGGGGGCACCCAGCGATGGGATGCCTGGTGGTTGAGCCAGGGGTATCCTTGATACCAAGATACCCATGCCAAGGGAGATGGTACCGGGTGCTCAGTACTGGGATGGTTGGTACTGGAATGCTTGGTACCAGGATGCCCAGTAGGAATGCTCAGTACCAGGTTCCAAGGACCAGGATGCTCAGTACTAGGATGCCCGTGCCCTGGGTGGATGTCCAGTACTGGGGCTGCAGTGTTCATTTTGGTGGCAGTACTCAGCACTGAGGAGCCCAGTGCCTGGGATGCTTGGTACCCAGTGCGGGTGCCCTGGGCAGAGATGCTCAGTACTGGGGTGCTCAGAGCTTCAGGGAATGGTTGATGCCAGGTGCTCACACCCTGGCTGCTACCAGGATGCTCGGTGGGGATGTCTGGTGCCAGGAGGCTCAGCACTGGGACACCTGGTACCCAAGGGGATGTTTCCTATTAGAATGCCCGTGCTTTGTAGTATTAACCTAGTACTGGGGTGCCCCATGCTCGGAGTGGTGGGGTCTGATACCAGGATACCTGATGCCTGGAGCCAGGAGGGGGATGCCCTATACTGGGTACTGGGATGCTTGGTGCCTGGGGAAATGCTCGGTACTGGGATGCCCAGCACCCAGGGGGATGCGTGGTACCAGGATACCCAATCCCAGAACAGCCAGTACCCAGGGAGATACATGGTATCGGGATGCTCGGCGCCGGGACATCCAGCGTCCAGGGAAGATGCCCAGTGCCCGGGGGGATGCTCGGCTCCGGGACGCCTGCCCGGCAGCGCAGGGAGCGGTACTCACGGCGGCACTGGAGGCTCTTCCTACCGCCTCCCCAGACGAAGTCCCCGCAGAGGTCGCACCAAGTGTGGAGCCCGCGGCGCCGGGGCTCGAAGCGATGCCCTGTGCTCGGTGCTGCCGCCGGCCTGGGCTCGGGCCGCGCTCCGGGGCCGTGCCGGCGGGCCGGGCTGATGCGCAGCGCGTTGGTTCGCTCCAGGCGGCCCCGGCCCGGCCGCGGCTCGGGCTGCAGCTCCCGCAGCTCGATCAGCTCCATGGCCCGGGGCGCTGCGCTGCGCGGCGGGGCGGGGGCAGGGCCGGGAGCGGCCGCCCCGCGGGGGAAACTGAGGCAGAGCCCCGGCGAGGGCCGATGGAGCGGCGGCGGCTCCGCTGGCTGCGCCCGCCGGGGCGGGCTGGAGGCGGGGACGGGGAGTGAGGGGGATGGGGGGGGGTACGGGCCGGCCCCGTTCCCCGCAGCCCGGGGCAGCCCCGCTCCGCGCCTCAGTTTCCCCGCCGAGGGCTGCCCTGGAACGGCTGCGGTCAGCCCCGAGCTCCGTGCGGGGGCAGACGGGTCCTTTCCGCCCCACACCGCCCCACGGAAACGAGCACCGCGGGGCCCGGCCGGCTGCGAACGGCCCCGTCCTCCTGGCCGGCTCCACCAGAAAACGCAAAGGCCCGGCTGCTGCCGCCTCCACCGCCGCTATTCAGAGCGCAGGGGGAGAGGCAAAGCCGAGCTCCCAGCTCCGCAGGCACGGGGACTGCACCATGGGGAGCCTGCCTGCCCCGAGCCCACTGCTCCAGTGCTCCTGTAACTCCACCGGCATCCTCCCGGGTACCCTGGGACCACACAATACACAGGGGATTGAGCCTCAGTGCTGAAGTCCCTTCAGATGAAAGCAGAGGGGGAAGCATCAAAAAAATCCTTCCCAGGCTATTCTTTTTCCCCCTACAGAAGTGCTCACAGCCCTGAGCTGCTGGAGCTCAAGGGGCATTTGGACACTGCTCACAGACGTTAATATTTGGGCGATGCAGTGTGGGGCCGGGCACTGGACTTGGTGATGCCATCAGGTCTCCTCTAGCTGGGGTATTCTACGATTCCTTTCTGCACTCAGCTCTGGACCCTACAGGGGCAGCTAACAAAGCCCCAGGAGCACGCCTGCTCGCTCAGCTCCCCGCTAACCACATCCTCTGCCCCCCTCAACACCCCCCACTGCTCTAACAGTGGGAGGTGATGCTGAGCCCTTCTCGTCCCGCTGCCTCGAGGAGCTTGAAGCAAGAGTGAGCCCATGCCTCAACGTTGGCAAGTTTGGCCATTTTGATCCCTGTTTCCAACCTTTGGTCGCTCTTTTTTCAAGTTCTCCAAGCTTCCTGTTGTCGCACAGGGTAAAAAGCAACACACACAAACCTCTCCCTGGGTGTGAGGGAGGGAAGGAAGTGGTTTATTGTCTTCAAAGAGGAGACAAGAGGGGGAGCCGAGCTCCTGCAGCGTGCAGTAGGACGGGGGGTGGTGACAGGGAGGCTGAGCCCCATGAGGCTACCGGGGAGAAGGGCTGTGAGCCTGCCTGCATGCTGCTACAGGGCTTTTCTCCAAGGAGAACCGGGCCTTGCTGTGCTGCAGGTCAGACCCTGCCCTGCTCACAGAGTACCTGCACTGCCCGACGCCCGGGCCAGCAGGTCGCAGGCGGTGCGGTGCTTCTGCCAGTGCTGGACCTGGCATGCCCTGCGGGGGGAGCCGTGCATCAGGGCCGTGCCCTCTCTGCAGAGCCCGGGGGATGCACCCCGTCCCTGGGCTCATCAAGCTGCTGTAAGGCTCAGAGAACGGGCAGGGGGAGCTGCAGGTCCCTCACCGTGTGCAGTACCACTCATTCCTGCAGCGAGAGCACCGCTTGGCCGCCTCCACACCGCACACCCGGCACCGGGGTTTGTCGGGGGCGAGGGCCTCCAGCACGTCCAGGCTGTATGTCTGCGCCCACCTGCAGCGGGACGGGAGGGGGGACTGTGCACAAGGAAGGGGCAGCGAGCAGCACGCTGCCACAGCTCCCTGGGACCTGGTGACAAAGGCACGGAGCGGGGCCTCACCTGCGTGCCTGCAGCTTCAGCTCTTCCTCGGTGGGGCTGAAGGCGTGCTTCACCTGGTGCTTGGCGATGGCCTCCCACTTGCCCGTGTTCTTCTTGAGGATGTGGTCCCAGATGACAGGCACCTGGTGGGAGAGGCAGAGTGGGAGATGGCAGCCAGAGCAGGCAGGGACAGGAGGGCAGCTAGCCTGGGGCACAGGGAGCAGAGCAGTGCAGCACGTGCCTGTGGGTACACAGGGAACAGAGCCACTCGTCCAACAAGGCAGTGAGCATTAGGTGAAATAGGCAAAACCCAGCTCCCAGGCAGACCCACCATCCTCATGCTCTGCCAGCTGGGGCTGCGGCAGCAGCATGAACCCAGTGCTCTGCAGCCGTTCGTCTGAGCAGATTTTTCCACCCATCACTTCCCCAAATACGATCACCAAGGGAAGGGCTTGTTGCTGTGAAAGGGAAAGCACCAGCCAAGAGCAGCACGTGGGGAGGAGGATGCTGCTTCAAACAGCGCTGATGGCCCATGCCAAGCAAAAATAGCCAAGCCTGGAAGGGGAGGAGGCTGCTTTGAGAGAAGTCAAATGGAAAAATAACTTTTCTCCATTTGGCTTCGTGACAAGGAGTGAGTTCACTCTTGCTGGGTAGAGAGTGGAGTCTGTGTGAGTGCCTCCAGCTGGCTCCCCCTGCCTGTCCTTGGCGCAGGCAGAAGCCACGCAAGCCCAAAGGCAGAGATGCAGAGAAGAGTAGCAGCCTGGATGAGGTTTCCAGTGTCCTGCCCCTGCCCACTGACATGCCAGCAGTTGAGCTGGGGCAGTGATCTGCCCTCTCTTTGCAAACAGTTTCCAGCAGTGAGGGTGTCACAGTGGAATGGGTGCTTGGCTGCTATTCTGGGGCACAGCTTCTCCAGAGCAGGGCTTGGCTGAAGGAAAAAGGGGTAGGGAGTGACCAGGCTTAAAAGAGATCAGCAGGAGAGATGAAAGAAGTCACCACATGCCTGCTCCAGAACAAGATCCTTCTTTGGAGGAGCTGGCTCTGTCACTGCCAGGTGGCTCAGAAATCTCTGCATCTCCACCAGGTTGGGCAGCTGGTCCAGGAGGACGTCTGTCAGGAATGCACGGAGCTGCAGCCATGCAGGGAAAGAGCAAACAGAGAGAGGTCAGGACAAGGGAGCCGGAGCAGGGTAATGAGACTCGAGGGCTCTGCATGTGCACAGGGCAAGCAGCACAGCATGAGCAGGGACTGTGGGGCACTGGCAAAGCAACCCCCGGGAGTCCCAAGCACTGCACTGCTGCTCTCACACCACTATCCTCCAGGAAGCCTACCTTAAGGAGCTGGCTCTTATTGAAGCCATCAAAGTGGTATTTGTGCTGGCATTCCGGGCTGAGCAGGAGGTTGAGGAGGGCGAGCCACACCTGCCCATCAAGCTTAGTCATTTTCATCTGGTCTTCAGGGGGCACCACATGCCATGTGCCATTCTCAAACTTCTTGAACTTGCCTGAGGGACAAAAGAACACAGGGCTCCAGGGAGAGACAGAGCTGCCGCAGGAAACAGGGCTCTGGGGTTGCATGCTGCCTTTCATTCGCTTCCTCACCCAGGCTCAGGCAAACCCCTCTGTTTCTGCCTGCCCAGTGACACAGCAGGGTGCCTGCTTGGTGCAAGGACAGTATTTTAGAGAGCACAGAAAGCATTAAGAACACATCTTAAAGTGATATGGTTGTGGCAGGAACTGAAAGATCCCTGTCACTCTCTGTACTGGCTAAGACTGAAGAACACTGGTAGATGGTGGGGGAACGCACACCATAGCAGCAGAGCTGCTGCAGAGGCATGTTTTGGAACGTCAGCACGGCCAGAACCCACTCTTCCTGAGGTACTTCTGCCAGTGAAAGCCAGAAGTAGCACAACTATAACAGAAGTTCCAGAACAAGCTAATGCGCTGCCCCAGGGAACGGAGGAGGACGTAACCCTGCATCTGCACAGCCTGGAAATGCCTTTGCATTCTGGTTTCTTTCCAGTCCCTCCCTCAGGACCTTGGATCAAAGTTCCCTCTGATGCTCCGAGCATGCATGCAGAGAGAAGGGATGCATTTCCTGGCTGGAGGAAGGAAAGTTCCCACGTCCAGCTGGGCTCCTCAGCACGCATGGAGCCATGTGCTTCCCAGCATCTCTTCCTCCCTTACCTATACTGTGAACTCCTGCTGAGATGCTTTCCCCTCATAGGCCTGCAGTGGATTGTGCCATTTTCCACCGCACTGCTGCTCAGAGGGATGCAAGGAGGAAGGGGGGGATGCACCTGGGTGCAGAGGAGTGGGGCTGCCAGGGCTCCTGCAGAAGAGCTACCAGTAGGTGCAGGTCCCAGCAAGGCTGCACAGGGCACGACCCATACCTGCTTCACGGCAGCTCCACGGGCAGTGCTCCACCAGCTCCACGAGGAGGCAGGGCAGGTTGTGGGTGTTCAGCATCCGTGTCAGCGCGCTCAGGGGCAAACTGGAGATTTAACAGAAAGGAGAGATGGCGCTCCCAAGCAAAGACCAAAACGGATACAAGCTCTCCCTGAGGCAACTGGGAGAGATGGGAGAAAAACAGTGACGGTAAGAGCAGCTCCATTTCCC